GGGGGGGGGGAGGGTGGAGATATCAGAGTTAAGCTTGGGTGACTCACTCAGCCATGGCCCCCTCCTGACCCCAGTTTCCCCACCCAGATTCACTGAGCCAGAGAGGGAGGGGTTTAAACCTGTTGGATTCAGGGGACTCTGACTCAGAGGACAGGAGGAGGGAAGAAATGCAGGAAATGTGGCCCAGAAAGCCATAGGACCAGGGAGGGAAGGAGATTTCAGTTTCCTTGGCCCCCACTTTTCTGGTCCCAGTCAGCATCCAGGGAAGGAGAGGCCAGGATTACTGTTACAGCTTTGAACTGGCAGAGAAGACAGCACTGGGAGAAGGAAAAGTGATGATAAGGGCAAACCTGGGGCTTCTCCTTTCCTGTTTCAGAGACCCTTGGGGCGTTGCTTTTCTGTTCCTGGGTGTTGTTTCAGATTCTGCTTCCATAAAACCAACGCTGGCAGCCTGAGCTGGAGGAGTTCCCTATACCCTCCCAGCTGTTTGAGACAGCCCGCCCAGACTTGAGCTCCTACTCCCCACTCCCAGTAGGTCACATAACAGTAACCTCACTACCTTTCTAAGCCCATCCAGACCCAGCGTCAGTATCAAGACAACTGGTACTCCAATGGATGCACATTACAGCCAGCTAGGGAACTTAAAAAATACCAGATTCTCTGGGGATAAGACCCAGGCCTCAGATTATTTTTATAAAGTCTCTGGGTGATTCTGACATGAACTTAGAGTTGGGATTCACTCACCTAGGTCAAGCCGTCTATACCCCTTGCTCTTTCTGAGGAGGTGCTGGGCAGGTGGGCAGGTCTGACTCCAGCCCAAAGTTGAACCCAGGGTCTCCCTGGGAGAACCTGAGGAAATAGCAGGACTGGGTAGGTGGGCCATGGAGTACAAACCCAGAAAAAGGCAGAGGATCTGCCTTTCTGTTCAGCGTTCCTCACCTGAAGGGACCCGAAAAGCTGAAGAGCTTTGGACCCTGTAATAAATAGCTGTTATTCTGGGGATTGGTGCAACAACTGAATTCAAGATTTGGTTTGTGGGGTAAGTGTACATCTGGGTGAGGAAGGGGGACAAATTCTCTTCGGGGTCCTTCTCATAAAGTATTAAGAATTATTGCTTTAGAAGAATATGCTGGGCCTTCAAAGAAAGTAATATGATTGGCTGCAGCTCTGCCTTCTTTGGAGCATTATTTCAGAGCCCAGGAGGCACTCGGAGAGCATCTAGAACAACCTCATCACTGTTCAGATGGGGATCCTCAGGCTCAAGATGAGTGGAGCTGGCCAAGTCAAAGAGGTGTCAGTGGTAGAGCTGGATCTAGTACTCCTGGGTGTCCCAACTCCTAGTCTTATGTCCTGTGACACATGAATCACCATCAGGGTATCCATCATCTCTCACACTGCCTAGTCAGCAGAACTTCGGTACTTGTTCCCAGGCCCATCCTCATGGGATTCTGATTTAATGGCCCTGGGTGGAGACCCAGAAATCTGGATTTTAACAGTCACCTCCACGCCTACCAGGTGGTTCTGCTTATGATACAAGTTTGGGAAATACAAGGGAACTGGAAGGCCATAATCAACAGAGGATGTACAGTTCCTCTTAGGACGCAGACCCCCTAGGCCTAACAAGTAGCTCCTTCCTTCCCAAATAAGGTAGGGGGGCTGTTCTACTTGATGGAGGGAGCAAGACAGGAGACAGGGCTTTCTTAGCCTTGGAATGCCCACGCCTATTAGGAAAGCAGTATTCAAGGCTCTATAGAATTTACCTCTGTGATCACCTCTCTCTCCATTCATGCTCTGCACTAATCCTGGCGGGCTTCCTATGGACTCTGGAACACAGTATAACCCTCCTTCTCTTCCCTTATTCTATGTTTTCCTCACCTCTCCATCCAAGTACCAGCTTGTTATATTCTCACCGTCTTACATGGGGCTGTGGATAAAGACCTTGATTCATATACTCATTATCAGTTAATTCATTCAACAGCACTTCTCAACCCTGGCTAGGCATTACCCCCAACATCCCAATGCAAACTATCTGGGATGTGCCTCAATTGCTTGGTATAAAGTGTACCATGTCTTTCAAGGGCAAAGTGGTAGCAATAAATACCTTAAATACACATCACTTCAAATCAGCAGTTCCAAAGAATTCTAGAATTTATCCTGGATATACTTAAAAGGTACTCATTACAGCATAGTTCATAAGAGCAAGACCAAATATACCATGTAGTAGAGCCTAGTGGTCAAGAGCAAGAGCTCTAAAGTAAATTTCCAGCTCCACCTCTGACCCTCATATGACCCAGGGGAAGTTGTAAAACCTCTCCCGATCTCAATCTCCTCATCTATAAAATGGGGAAATTAGTAAGACCTACTCTACTAAGTTGTTTTGAGGGTTGAATGAGTAATAAAAGTAAAGCAGTGTTTTATACACATGTAGGACTTTATAAGTATTACCTATTCTTCCTATTATGCAGCCATTAACAACGAGGTATATATGTATGTGCTGAATACGGAATGATCTTCAAATTGTAATGTTAAATGAAACTGGTTAATATGCACAGTGTTCTGCTCTATGTATTAAAACAATCAAAACTGTGGAAAAGCTGGAGGAATATGTATGTGCTCATACATGCATAGACTGTCTCACAAAACATACACAAATTTGGAATGTGAAAGTATGGAAGGGAGGAGACCTCAGTTTTTACCTTTCATGTGGTTTGATTTTACTATAAGTCTTAAAAACAAAAGCAAAAACTAAAAGTGTTCTAATAAGTAGCAGTAAGTACCACTGCTGATTCTGACATACAGCCAAGACCGGTACCCAGTGTTCATCCAACTCTCTATTCAGGACGGGGCGGTGGGGATGTGTGACAGAGCTGCAGAAGAAAATGTTCTGCCCCAAGGAAGCCCCCAACACTGAGGGCAGAGCCATATCACAACCATGAAACTCCAATCTCTGGTGCTCAAAAAGAGGGGAGCCCCCACTGGTAAGGAGGGGTGTGAAAAGCTGAGCTCTGAGCCTGCTGTAGCCCAACTGGGTTCTTGTTGCTCATTGTCCACCAGTCAGGAACTTAAACTGGTGTGACTCTGGCCTGAAGAACCATCTTCTCTACAACCATGGTGCTTCTGTGACTTGAACATAAAAACTCAGCAAAATAAAGGTGACTGCTGCTGGCAGGTGGGCCTGGGGAGATGAAGGAGGCTAGGCAGCTCTGTGGCTCCCCAGATCCCAATCCTAGAAGCCCGTACTGATTTCCTCACCTACAGAGTAGGGTAACAACTACCTACTGCAAGGGTTGTTTTGAGGACTAAATCCGTTACTGACAATAAAAACAATTGACATTTGGGAAGGGGGGAAGGCAACCGACATTTATTGAGTGTTTACTAGATGCCAGGCACTGTTCTCAGAGCACACAACTACCCTAGAAGGTAAGCATAGTTATCTTTATTTTAAAGATGAGGAAAACAAAGCTTAGAAAGGTTTAAGTTACTTGGTTATATGGCAAGACAGAACTGGGATTTAAACCTAGACAGTCTGACTCTAGAGCCACTAAACACTGCTTTCAAAGTTGCTGTACAAGTAAAGCCAGTATCTGGCCTATTGTAAGGGCTCATTGTGAACTATTATTATGGGTAAGAAAGTGAGAAGAGTTTGAAGACACTCTACATGGAGCCCCTGGATCCCCTCTCCCCAGCTAGCTTTCAAGGGTACATGACTCACCCTCTTCTCTGGCCTCCATCTCCCACCCATCACTGAGGTCAATAGCTCTCCATCCAGCCTGTGGAGGCCTAGAGGCCAGAATGGCTTCATCAGTGCCCTATGAGATGATTCTCTTACCTGACTCCCATCTATGATAAGGACCCTAAAGAGAGGTTCTGGAGAAGCCTGGCTCAGCCATTCCAGCCAACTTCATGGGACACAGAGCACCTTTCTACTGGGTGCTTAGGGAACTGATATGGACTCTATCTAAATTCAAAACTCTCTTGAAGCCTTAACTCCAGCCAACCTTTTGAGTTAAAGAATAGTATAAGATGACTCATGAAGTTTGGAAGTGTTCTGAAATTCCCGCCTAGCTCCAATGTTCTGGAGCTTGAGAAGTAATTACTTACTAACCTTCTGACCCCCTTTCATGGGTAGTAACTTCAGTCTCTTCCTTTTACCTACCCTACAAAGCCTTAAACCACCCTATGTGATCCTTCCACTGCTTAGGTAGTTTCCAGTTTGCACTACCCTCCCCCAGGAACCCATCATTCAATGCCTGAGGATATCTGGCAACAAAGGCCCCGGGGGACTTATGACCATGACTTGGGAGGTCAGAAAATCCCAACCTGTTTGAGACCAATAAGCCTAGAACCCCCATATTGCTTAACACCCTTATATGATGGTCTCCTGAGCCACCCAGTATCTGTTCATGCTCCAGGTCTCCCTCCTGCTATACTCCCACCTGTAGAGACTCACCAGCACTGTTGGCCTCCGACTCCAGCAGATGGATGTCATTACAGTCCGCCAGTGAGTGCTCCAGGCAGAGCTGCAGGAAGCGGGCCTGGGTGCGGGTGACCCGCTTCAGAAGTGACAGCAGGGCCACTGTCTGCTCACATTCATTCCAGCCCTTGAACCAGCCAGCTAGGATGCCCACCTGGTCTCGGAACATCATGGTGCCGGGCCTGGGGCCAGGGTGGAGGGGACGGCGGTGGCGAGGGCCAGCGCCGTCACATGGTCTCGGCTCCGGGCTCCTGTTACCTTTCCCCTGAGTGCCAGGGCTTGAGGACGTTCCCTGGCGTAGTGGCAACAGGTGGTGGGGTGAGGAGGAAGATCACATCAGGGAAGGTTTTGGTCAAGCCACGCCTCTCTAGGCTCCTGGAAAAGGAAGCAAGAAGGTCAGATACAATGAAGGGGTTGAAACTGGCCTGGTTAGTATGGGTTGAGGAGGTAAGGCGACTTCCTACACTCCTTCCTGCTAAGCTCCTGGGAGAAGATGAAGCTACTACCAGATACTAAACCAACGTTCTCTCCAGACCTGGAGGAAAGGTTTGATTGGGACTTAGAGACCTATCCTAGAACAAAGGAGATGCTGACCCTCAGGCCTGGCTGTCATAGGGCCAGCTGATTTAAAGCAGAGTAAGTTGGCAAGATTTTCCAGAAGTAAGAATTAAGAGAGGCTGCACAATATGGAAAAGAATGGAGACTTGGCCCCAGGTGACATGACTAAGCAGACATGTGACCCCCCAGCACATGTCTTGATCCTGGTTAGGCTCTGGCCACCTCCTCTGAGGGTAGGACAGAGTGACTGCTCACCTGCTAAAAGGACTCTACAGACATTATTTCAATCTAAGACCCACAAAGCTGGGATATGGGTGGACGGTGGGGTGGGGATGTTAGGTATGTGGCTAGCTACCTGACCAGTAAGTTTTTGGGTACCTAAGGGTAGGGGTGTGGACAGAAGTCTTTTCAAAGATCTCCAACAGGCTAGGGGATCTCACCTCTTCCAACCCAGCTCCCCATTGCAAAAGGTACAGCTCTGATCTCTATCTACTCTGATGTGAATTCCTCCTGCCTTCTTCTTCATTCCCCTGAAGGTTGCTCCTGACCCAAGCCCTCTGGGTTGGGTAGTCCCCTTGGCTCCCAGAGATGCCAGCCTGTTATTCAGACTCCTAACAGCCAAGAGAAGGCCAACCTGAGAAGGCGACACTTGCAAAGTAAAAAACTTCCAAACAGGAAAGTATCCAAATTCCTCTCTTAGACAGGAGCTGTGTCAACTGAGCAGACAACAGGCCTATTCTTTAGCTGACTGATTTCTGGATACGACTTTGAAGTCTTTTTCTAAGTGTCTTGAGCTCCAGGTCTTCACTCACATTTCCCCCCATTGGTCTTTCTAGCAGCCAGTGCCCTTGGCTCCACCCCCAAACCACATTTGACTCCATCCCTTTCTGGCTGCCAAGAGGACTGAGAATTCCATACGAAGACCTATTGAACCTACTGGGCTCAGGTCTTAGGGAACGACTGCCACCTTCCTGAACCTTCATGCTCCTGCTGAGGGCTGTGAGGCGCATCTGATAATGGCTCTGACTTACCTTGCAGATCCTCTGTGGGACACCTGAACAGAGCAAACTGGCCAGGATGTCAATCCCTTAGAATATAAGCAGCAAGGAAAAGTGTGGGGGAAAATGAAATCTTGCTCCAAGTTAAACAGGCTTCCCAGAAATCTTTTTAAAAGGGAAGTCAAATGTTGCATCCCTGGCTTAAATTTTTCCAATGACTTCCTATTACACTAATCATGAACTTCTTATATTGGCCTACATACCCTGCATGACACCTGTGGCCTCCCCAACTTCATCTTGTACTATGTTCTTTCTTGTTGGAATACTCCTCTCCCAGATCTCTCTAGGCTGGCTCCTACTTGTCATTCAGGTCTCAGCTCCATGTCACTTCCTCAGATACTCCCTGACCATCCAATCTAAGGAATATCTGTCACTCTATTACATTAACGTTACTTCTTCTACATGACACCCATAGATATTATCTTGTTTGTTTTTCTCTTTTCACCAAGGTCAAGCTATACCACTGCCTAGTGCCTAGAAGGATAAATGGCACGTAGAAGGTGCTCATTATATATTTGGTGAATGAATGAATGAAGGTGAGCATGGAAGCCACACTTGGGATTTCTAAAGCCCTGGGGAAGAAGATGATAGAAGAAAGGCCCACAGGTTGGTAAACATATTTGGAAACCCTGTCCTAACAGAAAAATCTGAAGGCACAAGGAAATTTCCTCCAGGGAAGGAAAGACTTGGGAGGAATGGACAACTGACTTCAACTATCTGGAACACACAGAAAAAGAATTAGATTTCTTCTTTTACTTCAGGAGAACCAGGGTAGATAATTCTAAGTGAGAGGTAACATGGAATATGGGATGAATGTCAAGAAAACTCAGTTATAGTCCTGCCTCAGTCGCTTTGGTCTGTGAACCAGTCTGCTTCCCTTCTCTAGAATGTGTACGATAAGGAGCTAGACTGGATCAGACATGATAAATGGGTTTTATATCACAGCCTAGCTCTTACTGATTGGTAGTGGGTGCCTGGAGCACTGTGGTGAGGATTCTGAAGAAATGAAGCAATGGGAATATCCACCAATGGGAAATGATTAATAAATTGGGGCACATCTCAAATAACAGGATATTATATAGCTATTAAAAACATGTTTGACCTTAATAGCAGAATACAAAAACTATATATCCTTATTTATAGTGCTTGAGCTCTAATTATCAACCTAGAGGAATGTCCATAGGCAGCACAGTAATCTAATCTAATATGGTGCCATTTCTGTAAAAAGATAAAAAAAAGCCATATACAAAAACCTTTATATATCTTATACATGAGTATCTGTGTATGTATGCATATAGAAAAATGTGATAGAAGGACACACCCTAGGCTGTTCATATTGGTTACTATGGAGAAAAAGGGGACTTTTTAACACTCTCTTTATGTAACTTTGTACTATTTCATTAGTTTCAAGTGAACACATATTACTTTTTTAATTTTTAAAGAGCAATTTAATTAAAAAAATTGTAAGGCTGTACTCCAATTTCTGGCTCAAGTGAGAAAGAGTACTGTGAGTGATTGTCAATGTTTGCCCTGGATACAGGATGGATGAGTGGTAACTCATGTGCCTGAAAAAATCAGTTTCCCTTCCCAGCTCCAGCATTTTGTGGCTTTCAGCCCCAAAGAGACAGCAGCTGCCTCAACAAAAAGAGGAATTTTAAAATATCTGTCCAAGAATGGAACTGGCTGCCATGTGAGGAGGTAATAAGCTCCCTGGTTTCTGTAAGTGGTCAAGCAGAGGCTGGACGAACATCCCTTGGGAGTAGGAGGAATTCCTTCACTGGGTGGCAACTCATAAGATAGAAGGACACAGTACTATTTCAGAAGGAACATTTATGACAGAGGCTTGATATGCCTATGAAACACTATGAAACACTGTTTACAGCAAAAAGATGAACAAATCCATAAATAGGCCAAAGTTGTGCACACTTTTTCCCATAAACTCTTTTACTGGGTTGTTACTTTTTTTAAACAACAGCACTGTGCTCCCTAAGCTGCTGATGAAACATGAATCCAGCTTCTTCCCCCAAGCCAAATGCTAGGAGCCAAGCCTTAGGACAGTGTGGGGTCTCCAACATGAGGCTTGCAAGTTCAGGTTTTTTACGAAGCAGGCTGGTGAGGACTGTGGTGAGCTGGAAAGCATAAAACCTGCCTAAAGCGAGAAGTCAACTATTTAGCTCCATCAGCTGCTGCCATGTGGGAATGTGGGTTCAGTATTGTTAAGTCTTAGGGTTTTTAAAAAAGAGAAGCCTGGATTTTTAAATAAAATTCCCCTATTTTTGAATGTTGGAAATGAATCCACATTAAAAGAGCAACAGTGAACCACTATACAGAACAAAGTTTGTGGCCTGTGGTCCTTGGACCAAATGGATACAAACTGAGAATAGAACAGAAGTCTTGCTAACTATCCCTTCCCCTCAGGCCTCTCTGGTTTATACCTTCAAACCACCTTGCTGCTCAGGGAATATGATCGGTAGAGATCTAGTGCTCAAAGATGGTTTAGAAAGTCCTTGCTAAACACCATGGGGTCTTTAGGGAAACAAATAGTCATATTAAGAATGTAGTGTTAAAATAACCATCCCTAAAGGAAGGGTTCCTATGTCTTCTGGAAAATAGGAGGCTACTGGGTGTTTGGTCTGGATGGTCTTCTTCCATCAAAGGGCCAGGGGCCCTCAGCTTCCTCACACCCCTGTTGCTTGGCAGTAGTGAGAAGGTAAGACCTAGCTGGGTGAGATCGGCCAGGTAAGCAGCATCAGCACTGACTTTTCCAAGGCATCTTACTGTCAGGGATTCTGGTGGATCTACCCACCAAGCATCCACTCTCATCTTCTGGTATCAGCCCCCCGAGTTCCCTTTAGAGAATTAACTGTTTCTTGGCTCTAGTAGACAAGGAGTAAAGGACTGGTCAGGTAAAGTCTGCACTGGACTTTTGCTGAAACTACTGGTGAAAATCAGTCCTTGGTTAGGGTTGCTCAGTTTATACAACATCTCCAGATTTTACTGGTTATCACTTCTGCTACCTTACAGTGAAAACCTGCCTCAGAATAAAGCCACACAGATGAAAGCAGACTCAAGAGATGAGGGAAGAAAAAGGGAGACCTGTTGATATCATCTGTAGACCTGGGAAGGCCCCCACCCCAAACTTCTGTTTCATAGACCAATAAATTCTTCTTTGCCTGACGCCAGTTTGAATTGGGTTTCTATCACTCAAAGATGAACAAGCCTTGACTGCTTCCATACAAAACAGAATTCACCACTGCGCTGGTCTCTCTGCCCTCATGCGACCAAAAATGACTCACTGTCTTTGAAGACAGACACTAGAGGGGAACCCCTATGGCTAAAGTCTCTCAAACAGTCCAACAACATTGCTGCTATGTTTGGTTTCTAAGGGACCAAGAACCTACCAACCCTGGAGGGTGACAAATGGAGCCAAAAATTGGCTAAGAGGTTCCAGGAAAAACTGCTCACTAGGCTCCCTTCCTTGCCTTCAAACAGTGAGAAGCGTCCCACAGACGGGAGGGACCTCTGGAGGCCTGCTCTCCTCATTCAGAAGCAGTGC